ATACAGCTACAAAACTACCACTACAAACATGATATAGAACATTTCCATCTCTTCCAAAAGATTCTTCCTGCCCTTTTGCAATCCAACTTCTGTCCCTGTTGCCAGGCAACCACTGCCCTGCTGTCTATAAATGAGTTAATTTTCCCCCTAAATGGATATTCAGTTGGAACACAGTACTATGTCTTTAAGAGAATTCCTACTCCAATCCTTGGCACCTTTGTCAAAAATTAATTGACCATTTCTTTCTGGATCAGTTCCTAGAATCTCTTTTTTCCTATTGATCTACATGTCTATCCAATACCACACTGTCATTACACTGCCATTTCATAGTTAGTTTTGAAATCAGGTTGTATAAATCCCCCAGCTTTGTTGTTCTTTTTAAAATTTGCTTTGGCTCTTATGACGTAGGAATTACTGAATATTTTATGCCATAAAATGCAATCTGCTCCTTATAAGGGTAATTTTCATGTCTCCAAACACTACTGTAAATAAATAATTTGAAAGAAAATGGAATTTTTGTTTTATTTGATAGACTAATTGGTGGTACATGGATATTAAGATTCAGGGACACCACAGATGAAGAGCTGTATTTGAATGTGAGCTTTCTGGAAACGTAGTTCAGTGGGTGGGGTGACAATGGGTCATCTTCTTAACCTCTGTAAGCCCTAACAGAGACTTGTATGATGACATCTCAAAGGTTTTTGTGGGGCTCACATGAGAAAATGTTAGTGAGCGCCCACAGAAATCCCTCAGTTCTTAGTTATTAATATTATCATAGTGGTCTGGTGTCAGAAGGTATTGGCTTTTCTTATCCCTTCTAGAAGTGAAAAGCCTGTGTATCAACCTAAGAGCATTTTATCCAGCAATGCAATATAAAATTTACAGTTGCAATGGTGCAACCTATTAAAAACTCAGGATTTGATTATTATACCCATTAATACCCAGAAGTTAGAATTTCCCTAAAAACAACTTCATCCGGACTAAGGGGTAAGTTTTCTAGAAGCCAAAGCTGGGAGAAGGAAGTAGGCTGTTCTTAAGAATGATACTCGGTATTGAGGAGTTTTCTTTTTCTTATTGTATGTTTTATCTTAATTTTTTAATGTGTTCAAAGAATCTCATTAATATACTAAAAATTCAAAATAGAATCAATGATGATCTAATTTTTGAATGTATACTGGTGTGGAGCTCGATCCCAGGACTTCATGAACTGAGCTAAAGGCAGACATTTAACTGAGACACCCAGGTGCCCCTTGTTTTGTTTTTTGATTCCTAAAAATTACCTGTTTAAGTCATCTGTGTCTGAAAACAGAACTCCAGTGACTGCTTAGGAGACAGTGCTACTTATCAACTCAAACTAACTCTCCAATGAAGTTTGCCTAATTTTTAAAGACTGTACATCTAGTAGAGATGAAAAGCTGAACATATTGTTATGCCTCAATAACGGGTCCGTGATTAAAGGAGCGAGACTGATATAAAGCGAAGGTCAAGCAAAGCTTTATTTCACGCCAAGCATCAAGAACCTAGGGATGCCTGGGTGGCTCAGTTGGTTAAGCGGCTGCCTTCGGCTCAGGTCGTGATCCCAGCGTCCTGGGATGGAGTCCCACATCGGGCTCCTTGCTCGGCGGGGAGCCTGCTTCTCCCTCTGCCTCTGCCTGCCATTCTGTCTGCCTGTGCTCGCTTTCTCTCCCTCTCTCTCTGACAAATAAATAAAATCTTAAAAAAAAAAAAAAAGAATCTAACCGAACGTTCGGGGATGCACCTCTTACGAGAGGGCGACCCTTCTGTTTCACAGACTAGCTTTTAAGGGCAAAGGCCATGCGGTCGGGCCTGGCCACGCACGGGTGGCCAATGAAATTGTAACACACACAGGAAACTCCACAGTGATGCTAGGTGACCAATTGAGTTACAATTTACCCTAGTAGACATTTGAACCAGCCTATTACACCTTGATTAGGATTGGCGCCAAAAGGGTTCCCCAAGGGTGGGGGTCCCTGCTCCTTGGTAGCTAGGGAGACAGTATGCAAGCCCCTACTGATCGGATGTCTCCACCTGGCCTGACCCACCCTTGTATCTGGGCTTTGTTACCTGAAGCTGGTTTCCCGGACTTGTTTTTCTTTAAGGAAATCCCCTGGGGGAAGGGGAGCAGGGACAGTTTAACTTTAATGAAAGCCTCTTGCTAAATAAGTCCTTACAATATGAGATGAAGAAAAAAAAAACAACAAATTGGGTAGCAGTTTGCTTTTAGAATTTATTTTTATTTCATTAAGCAGATTTTCTAGCCTATAAAGCCTGCTCCTCTGAGATCCACTGGCAAATGTGACCTTCATTAAATTAATAATGATGGCTACTAGATGTACCTGAGCATTGACTGGGTAATCAGTGATGAACCAAATATGAGAGTTTTTGTGTTTTTATTCCACTTGGTCAACATTAATACTCATCCTGAAAGGGGTAAAATTAGGTATGAATTTAAAGAGGAACTCCGGTAATAGGCATTGAGGAGCTATATAGAGAACAAAAAATAAGCCACTCTCTGCTTCTCAGCCCTGGGTACAGGAAACCCATTTTCTCTCAGAAACTCATTTCCTCTCAGTCCTTTTAATTATTTGCTAACATCCTTTTGCTTCCCCCCTCCCCCAACTTCGGTTTTTCCCATTGGTTGGAGACCTCTGATGCCTGAAAGGGACCTTTGAAAATGGGATATAGTGTTTCCAGGAATGGAGGCGTTTGGATTTTTGTCATAATAGATGCCAATGAAGAGAAATAAATGAATGCATCCGTAGAATAAAGTCTACGTCCCATCACCAAGGTAGGTAGTGGGTCAGAGAGCTCCCTGCAGGAGCATATTTAAGATTTAGAAGAGCAAAGCCAACTCATTTCATTTGTGAGCCTGTGAATTATGATGTACTCCTTGAACAATGACAGTCACCTTTCCTTAAGCATATAAGCTAATCAAAATTAAGCCAGTTATGAAAAACAGTCTTCGAATAAACTCTCCCAGATTAGAGAAAATTTTCTTTGCAAACCGAGTTTTGTTTTGTTCTTTTGGGTTTTTTGTTTTTGTTTTTTTTTTTTTTTTTTTGGCTCCTTAAAGCAAAGTGGAAGATACAGGAAAGTAAAAGAGTCAAAAGCATGGTTAGTGAATGCCTTCTGTGGATAGGAAACACTTTCCTAAGGAAAAGTACGAAGGAAGCAAACAACACAAATTCTGTGCTCAGAGATGGAAAGGATTTCTCTTTTATGTGGAGTTTGCTCCTCAGCACTGGTTGTAGCTTTAGTAGTGAGTCACATCTCAGCTCCTTATTGTAAGTAAGGAGGCCTCTTTGGCCCCAGACTTAGGTGGAGAGCTTATGTAAAATCATGGACGCAACTTATTTCCAAAGTAAGAAAGGAGTCACAGACTCTAACTTTCAGGTAAGCAGGTAGCTTGTTTAGCAGTCTGCTAGGATAGATGGAGTCCTATTCTATTGTCACTGCCTGCCAGCTCTACCTGTCATTTGGTATCCTCAGACTGGGCCACTTTTTTTTGAGAGTGTGTGTGCCTATACAGGGACAGGGAAAGGCAGAGGGAGAGGGAGAGAATCTTAAGCAGGCCCCATGCCCAGCACAGAGCCCAACACAGGGCTCAATCTCACCTCTCTGAGATCATGACCTGAGCCAAAATCCAAGAGTCAGACGCTTCAATGACTGAGCCACCCAGGCGCCCTGGGCCCAGTACATTTCATAGACATTGGTACTCTGAAATTGAGGCATTTCCTAGCCAGAGACCACAGAATAATTAAAGCTATCCTAATTCTTGAATCCTGTTCATCATGATGATTCAGTTCCTAATTAACTTTTCTGAGATGATTCAATTTTTTTTAACCCCAAAACCACCAAACATATTTGATTAAGTAACATTATTAGTCCATAGTGATTGGCTCACATGGATTGGCTCAAAGGGACAAACTTTGGTGAATAAACAACTGAAGAAAGGCCCATTGGTTTAGTTGCCTTCCCATAGCATGTCAGTTCTGGTGTTAAGAAGTTAAGAGACAACACTTCAGGAATAGTCACAGAAAGGGTAGGCGGTCAGTGGGAAACTCCTGCTAGAGAGACTGAGACAGTAGTTAATCAATATATGTTCGATGAATACATAGGTTATGGATCCAAGGAAGATCTGTGCTGATCAAAAAAAAAAAAGAGAGAGAGAGAGAATTGGTATCATTTTTTTGTTCAAAACTTTTATTTTTTTCTGAATATTTCTATTTATGCTTGTGTCACTATCCACACTGTGGCTTTTTAAAAACCTGAGCCACTTATCATCTAGCCCCAATATAATCATCATCCCTTCACTCTCCCAATTCCTTTTCCCTCGTCCTGTGAACTAGAGAGACCATCTGAGCAGTGCCCCAAACAACAGGATTAGGCAGGTAAAACCGGTTGGCGAGCACATATAGTACGATCTCTTGGACCAAGGCAGAGTTGTGCGCATGTCTAAAAAGTCACGCCGACTCAACCAATGGAAGAAGGATCGTGTGGGTTGACCAGGGTGAGGTAGGGCCGTCCACAGGATAGTGTGAACTGTGGTCGCGGAGGCAGTTATGTAAAATTCACGGGCTAAACACTTTAGTTAACCTTTGCTGAAAATGGTCTACACTCTAAAAGATAAAGATCTAAGCTTCTTTAATGTTTTTTTAAACTTGTGACCATTCAAGTCACTAAGTGAGTTCTCACCATTTAAAATGAAAGCAAATGGCTATTGTGATGTGGAGAAGATGGCTGAACCGCACCAATATACTTGAGATTTTTCAATTAAATTCTGAGTTACCTCACCTTATAAAAATACAGTCAATATACTAAATACTGCACGAAGACCCAGGACTGGGGGCGGGGTGGTATTTAAAAATACACTTCTCTTGGATCAGCACCAAAAATATCAGTTTTTCTGTACAACCTGTTACAAGTTGTTAAGTAGAAGCGTGTTAAAATTATTTCTGATAAAAATTACAAAGTCCACATAGATCAGTAAAGGTATATCCAAACAACGTTCAAATACATTTTGACATCAAGGTTAGGCATTTCACTGGGAAGGGCATTCGAATGTGTACCACTGAATTTCTGTCGCAAAACTTTTGATGTCAACTTTGTATCATGGGCATATGTCCTATCTCACACAAAGGAGGCACTGGTACTTGGAAACTTCAGAGGATTATTAGAACCGTTATGGCTGAGGTGAAGAATTTGTGCAGCCTTCCACAATTTCAAAGAGGTAGTGATAGACACTTGTCCGCCTGGCAATATCAAAGGCCGTTTCTTCCAAGTTGTTCTTCAGACCCGGTTTGATGTAGCGGTTCATGAGGAGGAGCTCAAGGGTATCTTTGCTGTCCCTGTTCCCGGCGGCGAGGTGTAATGGGGTCAGGAGGCCTTTTGTTTGGGCGTTGATATCTGCATCATGCTGGAGTAAGAAAGAAGCGACTCTGGTGTTATTCCACTTACAGGCACTGTGCAGCGGCGTCCAGCCATCCACAGTCACCGCGTGGACATCTGCCCCTTGTGCAATCAGCTCGCGTACCACATCTAAGTGTCCACTGTAGGCTGCTCGATGGAGAGGGGTGTATTCGTCTTCGTCTCTAGTATTCACATGGGTGGCCTTTTCAGAGAGTAGTCTCCGCACTGTAGTCAGCTGAGAAGGAAAAGGATCTTTTCAAAACCCAGCGTGACCAAAACAGTACACGAAGCAAACTAAACTGCCCGTGGTGTTAAATTTATTTGAGCTCCACAAAAACTTGTTAGCAGAGGACTTTTAAGATAAAAATGATTTAAGATTTATTTTGGGGACAGAGGGCTACAGATTTAAGAATGAACACATTAGTGTTAACCACACTCTTGCTTCTAAGAATGTGACTCTCTCTGAAAACCAAGTATCAGTATCGGATGTATGACAATCACACATTTACTCCTGGTCCAGTTAAGGCCCACTGCATCTAAGCTTTCGTCCTAGAGAAATAACACAGACCATAATTGTATTTGATATTTTACACTTCATTAGTGAAAACATTAATAACTGATTTTTCTACAGTAGGATTATGGTACCAATATGCATAGTGCATAAAGCTTTGAAAAATAAACTTATCAGAAGAATACAATGGTAACAAGGAAATCTAGAGATTAAGGAGCTCAATTCCTTCCTACTAAAACAACCTTGGAAACATGTTTTCAGGAAGTGATTTTCAGTTTGGTCTTTGGATCTCTGGTGGGATACAGTGTGCTCCTGGATGAAAAAGTTATCCAAAAATGCAATACTTTTTAGTTATTAATTTGCTACCACCAACATGGAAGAACTTAGTAAAACGAAGAAGTGGCTGAGCAGGAAGAATCCATTTGATGACACTACTTACATAATACAGGGCAAATTAATATTCCTGAATCCCATTTTCTTAAACTGTAAAAGGGAAGAATATTACTTATCTTGTGGGGATAGATGAGGATTAAGTCAAATAATATAATAAAGCACATGGTATAGTTGGTATTCAAAACATGTTAATTCCCATCCTCCCTCTTCTGAATGATAGTTGTCTCTAGGAAGATCTTAATGACTTAATATAAATGTTTTAAAAATATAGGTGATTTCGGGGTGCCTGGGTGGCTTAGTGGGTTAAGCCACTGCCTTGGGCTCAGGTCATGATCTCAGGGTCCTGGGATCGAGTCCTGCATCGGGCTCTCTGCTCAGCAGGGAGCCTGCTTCCCTCTATCTCTCTCTCTGCCTGCCTCTCTGTCTACTTGTGATCTCCCTCTGTCAAATAAATAAATAAAATCTTCAAAAAAAAAAATATAGGTGATTTCTTGCTAACTGTATAATTATTCCTTAAACTCCCAAATAATACCCAATAGGACGCTTTGTGACTTACTATGTCCTTTCATGGACATTGCCTCATTTGATCCTCAAATCCTGTATAAAAGATAAAGGTATTATCATGGCCATTTTTATAGGTAAGAAAATAGAGGTTCAGGAATGGTAGGATTTGCCCAAAGTCACAAACCAAATAGAGGTTCAGGGACAGGTCTTCTGGCTCTGAATCCAATACTTCTCTTATTATATTATGGTTTCCTCTTTAATTGTTGTTTGTTTTTTTTACCCGATTTTTTTCTGCGGCCCAAAGAAGCAATTTGCTTGGATCTTTTTCCATCTTTTTTTCTTGCAATTGATACCACTCTTCAGTTTTTTCATCTTGTTCCTCGTCTTCATCAGAATTCCCTACCCAGAGACTTTGGGTACCAGTGGGAATAAGGTGCCCATGTGTTTCCAACAATTCAAGCTGGTTAAAGTGTTCAGAAAAGTCCAGGGAATTTTCTGGGTCTGGTTTTCCATCACTATTTACTTTCCCTTTTTCCATTTTTCCTATGACACTAAATATAAAACATTTCAAATGCCAGGGTATAAATAATCTTTCTAGAGATGAATTATGTCTGCTTTATTTTATCCATCAAGATCTGGAAACACAAACACAAAAATTATTAGCAAAACAGTAATTGTTTGTCAACAGCATAGATAAGTCTTGCAATCATACACAATAAACCCATCTAGACTTTTTGGTTTTACTGGTAGTCTTTACATTCTCTAAATATCAGCGCTGAAATTTGTTATCTATACTTTTAATGGTTAAAACTTTATTTTTGTTGTTGTTGTTTTCTTCTAGTAAGCCAATGGTTATATTATTCTGAATCTATTGGTTTCAATACTATTGTATTATATGAAGAGTGATAAATGCTTAAGGCTTTTAAATCATAATTAAAAAGACCAGCACATTCATGATTTTTATAAACTAGACACATAGATGATGGAAAGCAGAAATAAAAACTTTTAGTTTCTAATAAATTACTTCAAAGAATTAGACATTCTTAGGGATGGAATAGCCCCAAGGATATCTGTATAAATCTCTCATCAGTGCAGATATCTTTATTAACACATCTATAATAATTATCCTATTTCTACTCTAATAATTTCAGGCTTGGGAAAATTCACTGCTTTAAAAAGGAGTCCCATTCCTTGAAAGACAACTATAGTTTTTAGTTGGCTTCTTGTCTGGAACTAAATTTCGGCTGTCATTCACTCCATTTAACAAATATGAATAGAATGCCTGGTCTGTGCCAGTCTTAGGGTATTGGGATTCAATAATGAACGAGATTCATGTCTTAACCTCAGAAAGGTTATTGTCCATTGGAGGTGACTAGAGACAACAGCATGATGTGTGCTATGACAGGACTCCGTCTAGATACAATGATATACAAGAGGGTTATAATTAATCCAATCCTAAAGGATTAGAGAAGGCTTCTTGAAGGAAGGGACATTTATTTAGTGAAGCTGCCACATTAATTTATAAACCAGTTATCAGTTTTAAGAGTTGCACAGCTTATTAAATCTTAACCAATTTTTAAAAATGCAAATAACTAGTAAGTATCTTTTAAAAATACCATTTCTCAGGCTCCCAATTGTATTTGTTGAAATCTTATCAGTCTTTCAAGGCTCTTCTCAGATGTCATCTCTTTCATTAGTCTTTCTTGAACTTCCAAATTAGATTTCTCTCTAGTTGTTTTTTTGGTTCTGCCTATTGTCTTATTTCAGCACTAATTATTTCCTTAGAGGATTATAAGCTTAAGGATAGAGTCTGTATTTAACTTATATTTATGTCCTAATCAATATTTGTAGAATGAAATTTAATTAAAGTCCTATCACTTGATTTTGTCTGGAATGGATTCTGAGAAGTTCCAGAATTAGTCTTCCCTTAAGATACTAATTTCTTTCTAATTTCACAAGCTTAACAGTATTCAATCCTAATGTAGCATTAGATTTTATCATTAGTGCCAAAAGTACTAACCTTATGTTTAAATTTATCACTTGTGACTAATAATGTCTCTGGGCCTGTTACTTCGCTGTAAAATGTAATGACTATACGAAGTGATTTCCAAGTCCTGCCTGGTTTTTCAGAGTCTATTGATACCCCATCAGAATTACTTTACGTTTTATTAGTTCTCTGGGAATTTTCACTTTTTATTATTGAAGTATTGTTGATATAATGTTATATTAGTTTCATGTGTACGAACACAGTGATTCCACAATTCTGTACATTACTCGACCCTCACCACAGTACACTATATTACTGACTACACTTACTGTATTGTTGGCTATATTCTCTATGCTGTACTTTTCATCTCTGTGACTTATTTATTTTATAGTTGGAAGTTTGTACCTCCTCAAACCTTTCACTCATTTTGTCTATCTTCCCACCCCTCTTCCCTCTGGTAACCATGATCTTTATGATTTCCTGTAGGTAGGAATTCCCACTGGGACTCTCATTTTTTACTTCACTATCAAACTATTCCCTGAACTTTGCAAAACAAAATTGATCCTATATCAGTTCATTAAACACTCTGAACAGATACTGATAAAGTTCATTTAACTAAATCAAAAATAGAAGTAATAAGGCACATTTATCCTCCCCTTTCCTTTCTGTACCCCCCTCCCCAGTTTCTAAATTCTTAATTTACTGCTCCAGATACAGTAACTCATATATAAAATTTCTTTTTTAATTTAGGTAGATTTAATTAAAAGAGTCAAAACTAGGTGTATCTCCCTGACTCCGGATTTTTAAAAAAATCGATTAAGATTCTTACTTGATGATACTCCACCAGGAAGAAATAGGGTATGTTTCTTAAAAGAACACATTTCGACAGAGCTCTAAACTGTCAACGCCTCGGAAATAACTCAGTGACAGATGCGGGCATAAACCCCCTTTTACAGGTGAAGGCGCCGAACTTCGTACAGATTAAAACAACCTGCCCTAGATAGGGACGCTTCAATGGAACTAAAAGGTCAGATTTTTTTCATTCAAAAGTTTCACATTATTTTTTAACTGTACTGTATTTTACTGCTATCAGCACAAAGCAATACAGACGTGCTGAACCCGGGATCCAGGGGTGAAAATAAGGGGAAGCTGGGAGTAAAAGGGTCCGAACGCTCGAACTCTGGGGAGTGGGAGTGAGGGAGAAAGCCCCTAGTCCCGGCCCTCTGGCACCGATTGGTCATTTCCCAGGCCCGGAGTCGCGCCTGCGGCCTTCCAAACAGCCAAGCGTGGAGAAGCCGCTCCAGCCCCACCCCGGACCCGCGACGCAGCTAGAACTGCAGGGCTCAGCCGGGCTCGGCAGGTGACCCGCTCCCAAGGGCCCAGGAGTTTTTAGGTGGCGCGAGGGGACCAAGGAGCGCGGTCCGGGACATGCAAGAGCTACCCACCTTAAAGAAAGGAAACATCGCTGTCGCGGACCTCGCTTCCGGGGTCGTCCCTCGGCTTCTCAGGATTGGCTCTTGCTTAAGGGCGGGGCGTCGCCGCCGCTTTCCCGGCTCCCTGACTGTTTTCGGCAGCCAATGAGAACCGAAGAAGACCTGAACTCCACGGCATCAATGAGGTATCGCGAGAGAAAGAGTCGCCTTTTTTATTTTTATTTTTTTTCCCCTCTCCCGCCTAATTCAGGTTTATGGCCCGGCAGCTCCTGGCGTGCAGGCTCAGGAAGTGCTGTTGCTTTACTTCTCACGAATCCTGCTCCTTCCCACGAATTCCGCTCCTTCTTCCCGGGTAAAAGCCTAGGGGTCCGGTGCGGGGGCTTTGGAGAGTGTAGGTGTGGGGTAATTTAAGGAATTACCGTCTCCTATTTTGTGGGATCCCGGGCGGACGTCCTGAGTGGATTGACTTTCTGGAAAGAGTGGGACGAGTCGGTTAAGGCCTGGAGGTTCTGGTTTTGGCTTCAAAGGGTCCAGTGGCGGCGCGGTGCGGGGCGGGGTGGGGGAGGGGACGGTGTGTGGAGGCTCAGAATCTGGAAGGAACCAGGAGTCCCGATGTAGGAGGGGTGGTTTCGCTGTGGCGGCGGCTCTTCCCCGAATATGTTGCCATTTCCAGTTGCCCCTCGGGCGTTTCTCCTTGGAGCACGTGTTTCTGTTTATTTACACTAGTTTTAAAGGTGGGGCCTTCTCTTTTCCTAAACTGGACCATTCCTTAAACAGTCCTGTGGTTGAACATGAAATACGCGATTTTCTCCATGCCCCAGGGTAGCCTGTGCACATCCAGAGTTGTTTTGTGTGCTAAACCAGAATTACTGTCTGTGACCCTCTCTGTCCATTTATCTAATAAACACTAGTTTCCAGTAGTTTAATCATAGTGGTGAAACTAAAATGGTAAAACTAAACTGGAGATGTGCTATTTTCTGTTGTTAGCTCTTAAAAAATAAAAATATAGTCGGTGCTTAGATGAAAATGAGATTCCTGAAATGGGTAGTTTTTAAAATAATGTATTTGACAATAATGTAATTTTGTTTTTAGAATTTGCTAGAATTTGGAATCGAGTGAGTTTCCTGACGTATTTGATCACAGGACCCAGGAGTACTCGGAGAGTAAACTAGTTGGAGAGGAGCTGGACTGACCATACATAGAAATGAGTCCTGCAGATGCCCTGTAAGAACTTGTCTTCTGGAATCTTTTTGCTTTGAATTTCTTGAAGCCCATCAACTATAATCACCATGAACAAAAACTTATTTAAAAAATTAGCAGTGAATAACTTGCCTATAAACAGAAATGTCATCAAAAAGAATACATTGTTAAAAAATTAGTATAATTTTTTATAATTATAAAAGATAACATACAGCTATAGATTGAGGCCTTGCAATAATTTGATATATTACTGTAGTATATACGTTTATATTCTTAGGTTTTCTCTTAAAATATGGAAGCTATCAATATTCTTGAACTTTTGTGAGGAAGTCTTATTGGTCAATGCAAGCCTATTTAAGCAGAGTTTTAGAGTAGTAAATTGTTCTAGCATTGAATAGATTGGGAATAAATTTGGGTGAAATGAAAATCAGTGAAAGAATCAGAAGACCCTGATTTCGGTTCCTTGATTATTACTGTGTGACCATGGGGAAGTTAGCAATTCTCTGAACCTTGCCTCCAGTTCTTTATTTTATATATATAATTGGAACAGAATTGCCTTTCTCAGATTAATTTAGATGTTTCAGTGAGAAAATTCGTTTGAAGATATTTTGTAAGTTGATATGGAAGCTTAGGATAATGTGATCTTGAAAGTATTCTGATCAACCGGTGTGTATGTAGAAATTGGAAGTATGTGCATATCTCATCTTTGAAGTTTTTGAAGAGAAATCTCTTCTAGAAAAATCTCATATATAAAGATTTTAATTTGGAGATATATGTGAAAGTTTTTTTAATTTCATTATGGTTTAGTGAAAATAGACTGAGTGGTTAAATCTAGTTTCTTCTACATAAGTTGTGCGATAACTCATTTAATTTCTCTGTAAACAGTTTTTTCATTTTTTAGAGATAGTAATACCTACTTCTTTACATGTGGAAGTTGAGGTGAGATCATAGATACTTAAGTATTTTAAAGAAAGTTGTTTTTTTGTTTTTTTTTTTAAGATTTTATTACTTATTTGAGAAAGAGAGCTTGAATCTGGGGGAGGGACAGGGGAAGAGGGAGAAGCCGGCTCCCTACTAACCAGGGATCCCAGGGGCTCAATTCTTAAGTGTATCCTTAACCAATTGAGCCACCCAGGCTCCTTGAGTATTTTAAAGAAGTTAGAAGTTACATTAAAGAAGCTATTAACAACTACTACATTGCTGCTTTACATGAGAGTACCTTTGAATACTACCAAATTCAAATGGAATTGTAAATCTGTTTTGTTACTTGGCCATATTTGTTAATGAAACACTAACTTTGTGTAGGGAATAGAATCATGCAAGTGTCTTCAGGGGCTTGAATATAAGTTACTAGTTTATTCGGATAAAATCTACTTATAAAGTAAGAGGGAGGGCTTTTTAAATTAACAGTCAACTCTGATTTTTCTGAAAGAGTGCAAAATAGATAAAAAGCAAGTTTAGATATGGGGGTCAAATCCTCTTGGGATTTTGGGATGGAACAGAATTGGAAAACAATGAAGCTTTTAGGTCCAGGGTCCAAAGGAATGTATAAAACTGAAGTTGTAATAAGGTTATACTTTTGGGGCACCTGGGTGGCTCAGTGAGTTAAGCCTCTGCCATTGGCTTAGGTCATGATTTCAGGTCCTGGAATCCAGCCCCACATGGGGCTCTCTGCTCAGAGGGGAGCCTGCTCCCCTCCACCCCCACTACCACCTGCCTCTCTGCCTACTTGTGATCTCTGTCTCTCAAATAAATAAAATCTTTAAAAAAAAAGTTACAGTTTTTTGAAAGGAGTCACAGAACCTTTTAAAGTTTATGTGTGTTTGTTTTGTTTTGAATTAGGTGTAGGGAGACAAACTGAAGATCTGTCAATTGCTTCAAAATTTCAGACTATTTTAAAGCTAGAAAAGTGATTTTACTGTATAACTACTATTTATCTTCTAAATTTAGGTTTTAATCTGCTTGAGCATCTTTTAATGAATTATCTTGAAACGTTTCTTTTTTTTTATATATAGTGATGATGAAAATACATTTAAAATCTTAGTTGCAACAGATATTCATCTGGGATTTATGGAGAAAGATGCAGTCAGAGGAAATGATACATTTGTAACACTGGATGAGATTTTAAGACTTGCCCAGGAAAATGAAGTGAGTTTGGTTTACATTTTTTCAGTTTCTGCTATGCTCCCTTAGTCTGTAGTAGACTCTTTTCCTTTCTTAAAGTTGGAGGTTTGTTTTACAGGTTCATATGCTCACATTGCCTGCTTAAATATCAATACACTATAAACCCAAAGCAGATTTTAAGTGCTTTGTGACCTCAATTCAGTAGGAGTTGGTTTTGGTTAGAAGTTTGTGAAAGTTTACACATATTTATGGGGTGTTTACTGAGTGCAGGATCCTGTTGCAGTTTCTGTTTGAAACGGAAAGATGACTCATAGTTTCTGTTTTCCAAGAATATACAGGATATCAGTATGTGAGATAAGACAGATGTCCAGAATGCTCAGATGCAAGTCATATGTGTTAAGAACCAGAAGAAGATTATAAACAGCCTTTCCAGTAGTTTAGAGGTAGAAGAGATCCCATATAAAGTTCTCTTCTTTATAGAGCATAGCAACATCAGTTTAAAAGAACGGGGTGGCATTTAACTTAAGCTTTGAAGGACGAGTAGGCTTTTGATGGGTAAAGGGATAGAAAATGTACATTTCACAGGAATCAGGAAGAAGGGCACAGAGGTGAGACAGTATGAGGTATGTTAGGGGTGCAACAGGTCAGTTTGGCTTATTAGTAGGCCATATGTTAGAAAACGTGCTTAAAAGAATAAAAACACTGTTTGAGCTGTATTAAGGAGGGCTTCAAATGCCAGATTGAGGAGTTTGTACCCATTCAGTGGAAAATCTCCTGGTGACAGGATACTGCACGAATTGGTGACCAGACTACTATTTTCAAGTAGTGGCATGGGTTGGAAAAGGGGAAGTGGATGCAAGAAGTATATGGATTTGCATACGTCAGGGGTAGAGTTGAGGGAAGGAGAGAGGACAAAGTCCTGGTGTATGTTTAAGTTTGGGCAAATGGTGATACCAATAATAGAAATAGCTTCTAAATAAGGAAGAGGTGCTTTATGTGGGAAGGTGATGAATTCTGATTTAGACCATTTGAGGTGGAGATTCCAATATGACATTCAGTCAACATTCTAGCAAGCCAAAGGAATGTCCTGTTGGACATTTCAGGAGAGAGCTGGGGAGTGAACAGAAACGCTTGTGACTTACAAATCAGTGTCTTCAACCTTGACTTTACCTCAGAGTTTTGTTCCGTTTTTCTGCAAGTCCTTTGGTTCTTCCTCGTAAACATATATGGAAACTGTTTTTGTGCCTATATGTTTAGCCCAAAACTTTTATCCTATTTTGCTGGACTACAGTAGCTCCCCATTGGTCTTTCTATTTGCATTCTTTCCCCCTACATCTATTCAGTATAGCGTCAAAGTGAACTTCTAAAATCATAAATCAGATCATATCTCTCTGCTGCTTGAAATCTTCAAGAAGCCTCTTTCATTGATGCTAAAGTAAAATTCAAACTACAAAGCTCAACTCGATCTAGCCCCTGCCAAGAGACTTCTGCAACTCTCTGCATTGTTCATTGTGCTCCATCTACCTTGACATGTTTTATTCTGGGACCTTTGCACGTCTGGTTCACATTAGAGCACATTGTATTTACCGTTTTCGAGAGGTCTTCCTGGATATCTCCAAACACTTCAGTTACTCTGTTTATTTTTTTTCATAACACCATCTGAAATAATATATTGAGTTGCCTACTTGTTTACTATTGATCTTCTCCACTAGAAGGTCAACAGGAGAGTGAAAAATCTTTTCTGCTTGTTTACACTGTATCTTAAAATTTAGGAAGGCTCTAGCAAGCAGTAGGGAACTCTTAAAAATTT